GTACCAAATTCTAACGCGATCGGCAAAAGGGTTGAAGTTATTAATCAAATTAGTTTTATTTTTGACAATATTAAAGGCTTGTAACTAAAAACCAAAAAATATTTATTTAACTTTTTTTCGTAGATCGTTTTTATTTATCGTCGTGAATATGCAGTCAAACGTTGTCGGTGAAATTTAGTATTAGTGCATAGCTGCAATCCCGTCTCGCGTACACTTCGCAAGTAGTTACACTTCGGTGTTTATAAAAATTAATTGTTGTTCGCTAACAGCTTCATTCTGTGTTCCGCATTTAGCGATGAATAAATCCGTCTTCGATCGAAAAGTATCAAATTCTCTTGGGCTGCCTCTGTTATTATAAAGACCACATCAACACATTCTCTAAATGTCAGTGGTGTTGCCGACGTTTACGGTATCAACTTTTGTCTATGGTATCAACATGTTTAAGAGTAGAAGATGCATTCGGCAGATATTTTTTGGTGCTGACCAAATCAGATTTTCACTGGTCACCCATGTGCCAATTTTTCTTTCTATGTTGGATTTTATTCGAATTTATATTGCACTTTACTCAAAAGAAAAACCAACACAGCAGTTTCCAAACTGGTCTAAAAACAACAATTACAAAGAAATTTTATTGAAGGCGATTTAGGGTTAAATTTGCCTACTTAAGGTGGCCATACCGCTGGCCGAGAAATAGTCAAATTTCTGGTGTTTTTAGAAACTGCAATCTTGAAAAGTAAAACGTGTAGAACAAAAGTAAGCGCAAAAATAAAAACCTTGATGTTCTGTTTATTCATTGTTACTATTTAAATTTACTCAAATAAAATAATAACTAAAAAAGAGTTTGTAAGACATGCGTTTGCTGTTATCCTAACCCTACATTTTAAGCATTATTTTCACGTACTTATAAATTAAAGTAAACAATTTCATATGTAGGACTAAGCAAGTACATGTTATAAGAATATTTACATGTGGAGTTGTATATAAAAAAGTATTTTCGTAGATTTCAGTACCTAAAACTTGATGGTTTGATCGTGTTTTGCACCTGCTTATTCGTTTTATTGCGGCGTCTGAAAATACCCAGATGGCATGACATAACATTCCTATTATTTGATAAGCTTTAGATTTAGAAATCACTATTTAAAGAATATGGCGCCCTTAAATTATCGCAGAAAATATTTAGGTTAATTTTTGGATTGCGGAAAATTAGAATTGTGCACAGTAAGAAAATAACTGTCTGTGCTGTGACTGTACAGGGTGGTTGATTTTCGATAGTTTTATAGGGTACAGCCAAAACGGTGATAGATACAAAAAATCTGATATCGATGTCCCGTCCTCTTTTTTTGAGTTTACTTCGCTGGTCCCAAAAGATCTTGGCTAACTTGATTAGTTTTAGATATACAGGGTTTTTTTGAAAAATGGCCCATTTACATTAACCTCTCTATCTCCGTTGTCATTCAATTTACAAGAAAAAAGTGTGCACATTATTTGTTCCATTTTTTATTAGGAAGCCATTGGCGTACTCAGATTTTTTACAAATCGCACAGTTTCTCCGATATTGCATAAACATAGGTTTTTTTAAATAGAACACCCTGTATTTGGCCATCCCGTTGAATAGCATTTTTTTTTACCTTTTCAGCTATATATAATAATAGATACTTTTTATTTGCCTAAATGAAGAAAAATGCAAAAATGTATAGATATAGATATTTTTTCAGTTGGCCATGTTATTTATTGTTATATTTAGTATTGGTCTCTTCGTTTTCTATTATTATTTTTATGTTAAGCACCTAACTTAGACTAAAAGATTAAAAAAAAAATAAATTAGATTATCCATTTATCTTTACTTAATAGGTTTAATTATAGGTACACTTATAACTATTATCTAAACATAAACTAAACAAAAATAACAACTATAAAATGAGAGAAACAACAATAAAACAAAAATGACATAACAAAGTCACAGCAAGTGCTCGAATTGTCGGCCATTTTCGTTGATACATAACTGACAACGTTTGGCAATGGAACGGGTCGCATTGTAAATGTGAATATTTGACACCCGCTGAATATAGTTTTCAAAATGTTCCCTTAGCTCCTCGACATTATTAGCTCTATACTTATAAATTTTGTCTTTAACATCCCCCCAAAAATAAAAGTCTATAGGGGTTAGGTCTGGTGACCTAGGCGGCCACCTGTTTGGTCCGTACGTACCGATCCAATTGTCCCCGAAATTATGATTTAATAATTCTCTAACTATGTGGGAATTATGTGGAGGCGCACCATCATGCTGAAAGAACATATTATATCGTTGAGCTAGTGACATATCGTCCAGCAGTTCAATAATATTTTCTTGTAAAATTCTCACATATCTCTGAGCGTTAAGGTTTTCATCGTACATTTCGTAAGCTAACACTCTATTGTGGAAGAGAGCTACCCATACATGAAAACCAAATCGCCCTTGTTGAATTCTGGCCACAGTTTGGTGAGGATTAACATCTGACCAATAACGCGCATTATGCCGGTTGAATATACCTTCGCTGCTTATAAAAGCCTCGTCGGTCCAAATAACATTTTGAAAAAAATTGGGGTATACATGAGTTTGCTGCAAAAACCATTGGCAGAAAATGATGCGTCTCTCTTCATCTCCTGGATGCAAATGGTGGACTTTTCTTATAGTATATGGTCGAAACTTGTGTTTTTTTAAAATTCTCAATGCTTTGAATTTACCAATTCCTATCGTTCTTTGAATTTCTCTGCTGGATACGTTGGGATTTGCGACAACAAAAGCTAAAGTATTGATTTCATCATCTTCTCTATTCTGTATATTATAAGATTTAGCTCTCGGTTTTTGAAAAGAACCAAACTCACACAAATTATCATAGAGTCGGCTAAAAATTCTCTTTTCTGGCTGATGACGCTCTGGGTATCTCTCCAAATATAAGTTTAAAGCTGTGTCACTATTTTTTTCACTTTCAATGTAACACTCTAACATTTGAACTTTGTGAAGATTTTCGTACACCATTTTTATACTTTTCAAAATTAAAACCAAGTAATAGACGTTTAACAAGCTTTCAATCAGTCAAAAATAAACTAACTGTCAATATTAAACAACAAAAGACGAATAAATAAATAACATGGCCAACTGAAAAAATATCTATATCTACATTTTTGCATTTTTCTTCATTTAGGCAAATAAAAAGTATCTATTATTATATATGGCTGAAAAGGTAAAAAAAAATGCTACTCAACGGGATGGCCAAATACAGGGTGTTCTATTTAAAAAAACCTATGTTTATGCAATATCGGAGAAACTGTGCGATTTGTAAAAAATCTGAGTACGCCAATGGCTTCCTAATAAAAAATAGAACAAATAATGTGCACACTTTTTTCTTCTAAATTGAATGACAACGGAGATAGAGAGGTTAATGTAAATTGACCATTTTTCAAAAAAACCCTGTATATCTAAAACTAATCAAGTTAGCTAAAACCTTTTGTTACCAGCGAAGTAAACTCAAAAAAAAAGGACGGGACATCGATATCAAATTTTTTGTATCTATCACCGTTTTGGCTGTACCCTATAAAACTATCCAAAATCAACCACCCTGTACAATCTTATTACTTTTGGAACCCATAACAGATTAAGAAATTTCCATATCTACACCACTGAATGACTTTTAATCGTAAACTTTTCGTTAAAAAATGTAGCCTACTGATGTTATAAACAACCAATAATAAAAAAATGTATTTGTTCGTTACTGACCTATCACCAAAATAAGTTTTGTTTTTTTAACTTCACTTTATAACTTTTAGAAATTATAAACCCATTAAGGGTTTAGCCTTAATGTACAGAGTGGCCTAATTAAAACAGTCCACCTGAAATATTTTCAATGCAACAGGTTTTTCCGGAAAACCCCGAAACAGGTCGATCTTTTGATCATAAATTCATAGATGCAGGGTCATCACCCTAAAAAAATTTTAAACAAATGTTAATTAATTAAAGTGTTTAAATTTACTTCCATACAGTAATAAAACCTTTGTTCAACATTTTCCCGAACATTTTGTAGCATTTGAGGAGTTATTTCATCACATGCTGCCACTATTCGGTGGCGAAGATCTTCTAAAGCTTCTTTTATAAATAACACTCTTTAAGTGACCCCATGAGTAAAACTTCAATGATGTTAAATCAGGCGATCTTGGAGGGCATTCAATGAAACCCCTTTTATCAATCCAGTGTTCCGGAAAATGTTGAGTCACGTACAGGAGCTGCATAGTGTGCCGAAGCGCCATCCTGTTGAAAAAATATATCATTCTCTGGGATCTGATCGTCGTTTTCAAGAATCTCCACAAATTCTTGCAGTTACCCGGGCTATTTCATTATTTCGAAAATAATTCTCTCTGCAATGGTGTAAACCATGATAATTTGCATCGTTTGCTTCAAAATAGCGAATAATAACGAATCAATGGATTTCAAAAAACATATAATTATTATTTTTATTGAATGTTTGACACAAAATGCTCTTGTACCAAGTTAGATAAAAAATATCAAGCGGTATTAACTTTGTTAAAGGAAAACGTATTTTGTCTCAGATATTTCCCTTAAACTTGCAATTTAAAAGCTTTTGTTTATAATAAACGCAATGGAGATCACCTTAGTTTAATTGAAATGAAATATTATGTTTTTAGCAACATTTCTTTAAAGAAATATTTATGAAGCTTTAAGTCAGTGACCCCAAAAATGTGCGCATTGGGATAAAACATTGGTAAGATTTATGTTATAATGAATTATATTGTACATAATATACTAGAATTTGTCTATATTTTCTAAAGTGTGCAGTGAAAATAATGTTTGGAGACTACTGCTTCATGAAATTCTCATGTTCGCCGCTATTATTATTATTATTTCACAAGCATAATTAACTAAATACATAATAAATAAAATTACGCTGAATCAGCAAAATAATATCTAATTCTTAATAATAAAGTTGTCAATTGTATATTTACGTAAACTAGATAATGAAACCGGCTCTGACTGTGCTACTAACACCAAGGTCAGATTATTCGGTATAAAAAAAATTGTGTTTTGTCTCAGATAAACCCATCAGCTCCGTGTTAGTGAACGTTCTATTAAATCGCATCTAGTTGTGTTTACCCGGGTGACACTTTCTTAACAAAATGTTGAGGAGCGCGATAAAACTGCATAAGATTGGTGTAAAGTTTATTTCTACCAACCCTTCTAAAAGAACTACAGAGTCCATAAGTATTTCTAAGAGAGACGACTACTACAAGAATCTAGGTGATTCCGGGGAAAAAAATGACCTGAAACCACCAGGATGGGACGAAGCTCTGCCGTACGAGTCCATTCCAGGGCCTAAACCTCTTCCGCTTATTGGGAATATGTGGAGGTTCATGCCGTACATAGGAGAGTTCAGTGACATGCCTCAAACAGATATGTATCAAATGTAAGTTTTTTATATACTAAAAGCTATTAAATTTTGTTTACACTAAACATATTGATTAGTTGAAAAAAATAACATTCTGTTATTATAGTTATTTAGAAAAAAATATCTTTATAATAAACTAACTTAAAACCCATTTCATAAAGAAAAGGCTTTAGAACCCCAGAATTTCGCCACCACTCAATATTTTGGAAATTAGGCTAAATGAATTTATTCCAAAGAAAAACGGCGTCTTTCATTTTATATGAAAAAGGAGTCATTTTGGAATTATTATTTTCTTTGGATTTAAAGTAATTAATAAATTTAAAATACTTCGGAAATCCATTTCACAGAAAAAAGTTTGAAATTTGCAACACAATTTAAAGTAGTGTTGCTGTCAAAAGTAAAAAGAACCCTCGATACCTCGAAAAAAATAGGAGATACCCTTTTATCTTAAGAATACAATTGTCAACTAATCGCACTTATGGAATTTCCAAAATACTTAGTGGCATGCATGAAAATTCTTGGATTATTTATGACAGTAATCCTCAGTATCATCGCCATTAGTTGTCATATTTGTATATGAATTTAGCAAAACTAGTAGTTATAGGTTCTTGATTCACTGCAGATCTTTAAACTAAAACTAGGAAACAATCTACAGATATTATGACGTAGATTTAAAACATAGCCCTGCATTTTACTGCAAAAATTTTATTCCCCACTTTTTTAATACAGCGAGGGACATTTTTATCTTTATCTTCAGTAATTGATGAAACAGTAAATACTTGATGTGTATTTGCGTAAACAAGACCTTATTATAATATCAGATAAGATAATCGAAATCTGACCAATATGTATTAACAACCACGACAACTTGAAACAAATAAGTTTTCTATAGATTTATTACCTCTTCTATGATGCCAATTATACAGGGTGATTCACTAACAATGGGAAAATCGAAAGCTGAAGATACTACACGTGAAATGGTGACCATTAGCGCAAACATGCCTTATCCGAAAGTTGATAGTTTCGGAAATACAGGGTGTTGAAAGTTAAAATTTTAAATCGTTTTTTTGCGATTATTCTGAAAATATGTAGGTTAGGAACTTGAAAATTTGTGAAATAATATTTTTTTAAACGACGGATAAGAACAATTTCAGCGTTGCTCATAGAGGGCGCCACATACGACCAATTTTACCGAAAATTTAGTTAATAACTTTTTACCCTGTATGTCTAACATGAAACTTGATTCAATACCTGAAAAAGCAATCATTTTTCCATTAATTATGTACTCTTGTTTCATTTTGGTATCTCTGTCCGTTTTCGAGAAAAATCGATATAACGAACACTATGTCTTGATAATACGAGAAATTAAAAGCGAAACAAAAGTGGTTCTTCATGTTATTACAACAATTAACAATAAAACAAATGAAATACGTAATAATGATTTAAAGTAATTGTTCGAAGAATCCACTGTTGACACTTTACACGTTTTCTGAGAGATCTTCGAGTTTGAAACAAAATATTGGCATTGAGGCAGACTTCGTTGGCAGCAATTTGTATTCTTTGCCATAACTCTTCACGCGAACCAATAGATTCTTTGTAAACTATATCTTTCATTCGAGACCAAATAGAAAAATTAAGGGGATTGAAGTCCTAACTTCTGGGTGGCCAAGCAAAAATGCTTCCACGGCTTGAAGAAGTTCTACTTTATTTAAGAAGAGATATGTGGTTCATACACGACGGAGCTCCATCGCATTTTCTCGGTCAGTGCGTGCATATTTAGATGCAGTTTTTCCAAATCGCTGGATTGGCAATATAAGCATTTTTGCTTGGCCACCCAGAAGTCCGGACTTCAATCATCTTGAATTTTTCTTTTTGGTCTCAAATGAAAGAGATAGTTTTCAAAGAATCTATTGGCTTGCGTGAAGAGTTATGGCCAAGAATACAAATCGCTACCAACGAAGTCAGACTCAATTCCAATATGTTGTTTCAAACTCGAAGATCTTTCAGAAAACGTTGTGTAAAGTGTATTAGTGTCAACAGAGGATTCTTCGAAAAATTACTTTAAATCATTATTACGTATTTCATTTGTTTTATTGTTAATTGTTGTAATAACATGAAGAAACACTTAGTTTGTTTCGCTTTTAATTTATCGTATTTCATGACATAGTATTCGTTAAATCGATTTTTTTCGAAAACGGATCGAGATCCCGAAATGAAACAACATACATAATTAATGGGAAAATAATTGCTCTTTCAGGTTTTGAATCAAGTTTCATGTTAGACATACAGGGTAAAAAGTTATTAACTAAATTTTCGGTAAAATTGGTCGTAAGTGGCGCCCTCTATGAGCAATGCTGAAATTACAACACGCATCTTAGTCGTCGCCTAAAAAAATGTAGTTTCACAAATTTTCAAGTTCCTAACCTACATATTTTCAGAATAATCGCAAAAAAACGATTTAAAATTTTAACTTTCAACACCCTGTATTTCCGAAACTATCAACTTTCGGATAAGGCATGTTTGCGCCAATAGTTACCATTTCACGTGTAGTATCTTGAGTTTCCGATTTTCCCATTGTTAATGCATCACCCTGTATATTGCAAAAATAAATCCACAGCATTACAAATATCTTACACTATGTTATATAATATATATCGTATAATTGTACATTGCATATTGCATATATTACACGTTATAAATTGTATATTGTAAGTTGTATATTGCATATAGTATATTATTATATTATATTATATTTTATTTTTTTTATTACAAAAAGGTGAAAATCTGAGCCTCTTCAAGTAGACCTAAATTATCAAATTTTACAATATTTTTTTCTTGTTATGTTTCTACGTTGTATTTCTGGTGTTAAAAATGTGTTACTCTAAAGTATTTCCCCTCAAAGTCTATTATTTTAATTCATTTGATTTGCAGTAATATAAAAACTCATGGTGCTAATCGAATCTTCGAACGAACAGGGATATTAATTTCTTTATACTCCGCCAGATAGCATTTGTCACGATGGAAAATTTTGTATTTCTTCAAATTTATAACTAAAAACCTATCTTCAAAAGCATTCCATTTCAAATTTATTAAAGCCCTTTATTATTTTGTTTAAATTTATATCAATACCAAAAATTAATTAAAACAAAATCGACAAGACTTCAAAAAGTCTATTATTAATTATTTAATTAAAATTGAAAACTGCAAACATGTATATCTAAAAGTAGTAACGGCACCCTTTACAATGCTTATATGGCTTGAAAGGAAATTTCAATCTGCATCGGACAGAGTAAAAATATACAGGGTGTTCCATTTAAGTTAAGAAAATTATAGCTGTTTGAAGTTATTAAAATGTAGCAGTAAAAATGAAACACCTAGTATTAAATGTTTTAATTTGTTGGTATACTATAATTTAGTGTTTCTTATGCCTTTTGCAGTTACAAAATCCACTTGACATCACGCTCCTGAAAAGAGTTACTAGCATCTCCGCGGACCCTTGCATCTCTCAAATTTTTTCTTTAAATACAGGGTGTCCCTAAATTCATGCATCAAAATTTGGTCACAGATTCTTAAGACAAATTTAGGGGACCCGTATTTTTTATTTTTGCCAAGTGGCCCCGTTTTTAGGAATTACAGCCCCCTGAAGTCCACCCCTAAGAATAATCTTTTTTTTTATATCGCAGAATCCTGTTGTACGAGAATCACTAAATTTGGTACACGGGGGTTTTATGACATGTGGAATCTGATGGTGCTACGTTTTTTGGCGGGCAACTCCCTTAAGACAATTTTTCATGGGCCCCCTTGTCTTTGGAGCCAAAAAAATTTAGTCGCATATTTAAATTTCTTAAAAATTATGTCTACTAAAAAGCCATTAAATTTAGAAACTTCCCTTTATACTTTTTTCGTAAAACGCAATGTTTTCGAGAAAAATATCAAAATGTGATCGAGTGCATATCGTGATTCGCCATTTTCCTCAAAAACATTGCGTTTTACGAAAGAAATATCAAGAGCCAAAAAAGTTTCTAAATTCAATGGCTTTCTAGCTAACTAATAATTAAAAAAAAATCAAATTTGCGACCAAATTTTTCTGGTTCCAAAGACAAGAGGGCCCACGAAAAAGTGTCTTAAGGGGGTTCTTGCCAAAAAGCGTAGCACTGTGAGATTCCGCATGGCATAAAACCCCTGTGTACCAAATTTAGTGATTCTCGTACAATATGGTTTTGAGATATAAAAAAGACTTCTTAGGGGCAGATTTCAGGGGGCTGTAACTCCGGAAGAGGGGGCCAGATGGCAAAAAGAAAAAATACCGGTCCCCTAAATTTGTCTTAAGAATCTATAACCAAATTTTGTTACATGAATTTCGGGACACCCTGTATTAATATCTCAAATTCTATAACCCCTAGGTATAGGGAATATTTAATAAAGTGTCCCTCAAATTTCATGTAGGATCTGAAAATACACTAATATACAGTATGGCTACGATTTATGTGACACAGGCCTATAATTCAGGTGTTAATTGACGAATCTTTTTCAAAATTTAACCACTTATGCAGACCAATGAGGTGCACATTTGAGGATCATAAAACTTACATATATCCATAGGTGTGCGCTAGGGGGAATTAAAAGGGGATCGAATTTTCGGTATTTTTTATTAGCGAATAAAATACGGAAATGCTGATGCCTTAGTCTTAATCAGTATCATCGAAAATATACCCACGGCAAGTTTCATCCAAATCGTATATAGGGTTGTACAGGAAATTCGTTTAATACAAAGAATAACATTACATATTGTATCCACACAGTAATGCAAAATCCAGTGATCCATGTCAAATGATTTTGTTTAAATGAAATGACATTTATAATTTTTAGTTGTTTAGCACGTCAGATTGTTATTAAAATTCTGAGTTTAAAAATAATTTATTGCGAAAAAACATCAGTTATGGCAGAAATTATATCAGTTACTGACAAAATTGAAATAATAAGAATGTCTGGAGAAAATGTTACATCGCGTGAAGCTGCAATAATTTTTAATCACCGCCATCCCAATCGAACAGTAAGTTACAGTACAGTAGCACGAATTAATAAAATATTTAATCAGACTGGTAGTGTATCACATGTAAGACCAAAAGAATACCGACGAGCAAACTTACACGAAAATAGGATTTTAGATGCTTTCCGAAATAATCCACGACTAGCATACGACATGCGGCATTGAATTTGAATTTAAACAAAGAAACCATAAGAAAATGTCTAAAAAAGAATAAATTGAAGCCCTTTAAACCAAAAATTTTACACTTTTTTAGAAGGAGACAATTTAAAGAGGCTAGACAATACTTTCTGGGTGCAAGGTGAATTTCTGAACGACAGAAATTTTTTGAAAAAAATAATTTTTAGCGATGAAGCTACTTGTTCTACAAATGGTGTTGTATCGACGCAGAACTCTCGATATTGGGAAAGAGACAATCCCAGGTGGATAATAAATGCTAAGAATCAGTATGTTTATAAAGTGAATGTTTGGTGCGCGATTTTTAATGATGACTTGACATGGGTATATTTTCGATGATACTGATTAAGATTAAGACATCAGCAATTCCGTATTTTATTCGTTAATAAAAAATACCGAAAAATCGATCACCTTCTAATTTCCCCTAACGCACACCTATGGATATATGTAAGTTTAATGATCCTCAAATGTCCACCCCATTGGTCTGCATAAGTGGTTAAAATTTGAAAAGGATTCGCCAATTAACACCTGAGTTATAGGCCTGTGTCACCTAAATCGTTGCCACACTGTATAGGGTGTTCCATTTAAAATAACTAAGTTGGTGTCGACTTCCGGTATAACTGTAAGTGCTGGAGAGTCCTAGATATTTTAGTTGTGTTCGCCCCAGGGTTCAAATTTTTCGGAGGCGTACTTTCCTAGATATGGATCGACGAAGTTCCCGGTGGGACACCCTGTATATATCTCCTTATTTTATACATGAACCTACTTTACATTCACCACACTCGAAGGACAAACTTCGTTAGCTAGACTGATCAAAATAACTCATTTGGAGGGAAAAAAAAAGAAAATTGTTACCTGGACTTTTATAAGTGGAAATGATAAAGGGGCTTGTGATAAACGAAAAAAAAAATAAATAAATGCGTGAGCAAGGGCGGCGGAGGGTTGATTTGGGGTGTTGAAAAGTTATGAAAAATTGTATCATTGGGATTTCTGGCGAAAGTTGACGTCAAACAAAAAAGTATCCAATACAAAAGTTATAGATCATGCAAAATTCTACAACTTTCTAACATAACATCAAAATTTCCGAGAAAAATGCGAAAAACAGATTTTTTTCTGATTTTTCGTTTTTTATTTCTCATTTCCGCAAAAATTATTTAATTTTGACGAAACTTGGTGAAAGTAACACTTTTTTTTCAAAGAAAAATTCTACTTAAAAAATATCATCGTACAGAATTCTGCTGTTAATCATTTTTTTTTTTGACATATACTTTTTGGTGAAATAAAAAAATGTATAACAGCTCAAAAACATGCTCGAAAATGCAAAAAGTAAAAAATGACTTGCAACAATGAATTTTTCAGTTATTGTTACAAATTTGTTTAAATTAAAAAACATTCAAAAACTGATTACACCATTCAATTCTACGGAAAAAAAAACTGTCTCATTGTTTGACCCAAAACTATTTTTATACAGTATTGCTATAAACATAAGACGAATATTGAATAAATAAAACAAATAATATTTTTTTTCCGTAGGATCGATTAGTGTACTTATTTTTTTTAAAGTTTGATGAATTCATAGATATACAGTGTGTCCAAAATAAGGATGGGATAGCATTAGGATCTAGGAAACGGTAAAAGATACGGGATGGCTCAGATTAGAAAAAAGTTGTGTTTTTTTATACCTAATAATATGCTGTTTAGAAAGTTTTAAAATTCCGGGTAGTTCCGGAGATATCCGGAAAAACCCGAAATTTTGCAAAATTTTTTCTGGCTTTATTTGAAAATGAATTTTAAAATAAATTACATATTTACAATGCCACTTTTTTCGCTCTATACAATGGCGTCAACATTTTTGCAATCCGACGTTTCGTCTTCGAGGGGCCATCATCGGGTTAATTTTTTTAAATACGTCGCGGCTATTTTTATGACAAAATCTAGTCATTTTTAATTTTCAATTAGAGGATATTAATCGCGTAAAAAGTTTTTAGCTTGTTTTAGCTATAATTTAAATTTTTTCCTGAGAACGGCTCTGAACGCTTTCAAAATATCTATTGGATGAAGTCATAACAATATAAAAGTCAATACCGCACAAAATATCCAATAATTTTTTACTACTGTTAGCAATACTAATTAAAAATAATAAAATATTTCATAAATTCGTATTATTTTTTTATTAGGAACAGCTTTTTAAATTATGAATTAAAAAAATGGTTGGATATTTTATGCTGAACTTTTATTCTCTCCTCTCTCTCTCTCTTCTGCAATAGATACAGGTATGTTGAAAGCGTTCAGAGCCGTACTCAGGAAAAATTTTTAATGATAGGTAAAAACCTTTTTAATTACAATAGTAATATCATCTAATACAGAATTAAAAATGATTGGATTTTGTCATAAAAATAGCAGCGATATATTTAAAAAAATTAATCTGATGATGGCCCCTCGAAGACGAAACGTCGGATTGCAAAAATGTTGACGCCATTGGATAGAGCGAAAAAAGTGGCAATGTAAATATGCAATTTATTTAAAATTCGTTTTCAAATAAAGCCAGAAAAAAATAAAACGATTTTGCAAAATTTCGGGTTTTCGGATTTCGCGTCAACAGTAGACTTTGCAGTTAATACTTTGTATTGCTGAAATCTCAAATCATCCAGAGATAATTTATCATTTGTGCATTTGTAATTCAACTTAGATGTTTATAGCAACACTGTACAAAAATATAGTTTTGGGTCAAACAATGAGACACAGTTTTTTTTTTCGTAGAATTGAATGGTGTAGTCAGTTTTTGAATGTTTTTTAATTTAATCAAATTATCAACAATAACTGAAAAGTCATTTTTTATTTTTTTGCATTTTTGAGCTTTTTTTGAAATGTTATTACAAATTTTTTTATTTCACCAAAAAGTATATGTCAAAACGAAAAAAATGATTACCGGCAGAACTCTGTACGATGATTTTTTTAAGTAGAATTTTTCTTTGAAAAAAAGTGTTTCAGGCCGAAAGAAATGAATATCTCAGAAACTTCTTGATTTTCCTATCTAAAAAATTTGAGGTTATTTAAGATAGAGAAAGGTATACTTTCACCAAGTTTCGTCAATCGAATTAAATTATTTTTGCGGAAATGAGAAATAAAAAACGAAAAATCAGAAAAAATTATGTTTTTCGCATTTTTCCCGGAAATTTTGAGGTTATGTTAAAAAGTGACCTCTACAAAAGTTGTAGAATTTTGCATGATCTACAACTTTCGTCAGAAATCGCATTGATACAATTTTTCATAACTTTTCAACCACCTAAATCAACCCTGCGCCGCCCCTGCTCACGCATTTATTTTTTTTAGGTTTATTATAAGCCCTTTTACCATTTCCACTTATAAAAGTCCAGGTAACAATTTTTTTTTCTCCAAGTGTAATTTGGTTGGACTATAGCTTGATGTTTTCTTTTTTGCCGTCGGCGTCGGAGAAAGCCAACAAATGATTTTGTTGGTTCGAAAATCATCGCTTACCTTAAGATAAGTTGATGATCTACCAGGATCTTCTCTTTGATTTCCGTACCTAGGCAGATGGGTACAGCTAAACAATTTTGATGTCAAACTGAAGTTGCAATACTGTAGGACCAGCTATTTCATATTTTCCATCGCAGGCCAAGTAAAAAGGCACCACAACCATTTAATGCTTATTTTGGAAATTCGACACTGAGATAATGTTTTCATCTGTAACGTATACTTGTTATACATAAAAATTAATGGCGTTAGGTAGTTGCATAATTTCTTTTTTTTTTCTGAAAATCTGCCAAAATTGATAAAATAAAAAATAGTATGGTTTCTCTTATTGGGAAGTTTTTCGTGGTGGTTTATTTATAGGACAAGGTCAGTTTTTAGGGATATTTTCTCTAATAGTTCATACAAAAATGCAATAGAAAATTAATCGATTGGAGTTATGAACAGAATCAGAATTTAAACAGAAACTCATTTATTTCGTTTCCTTAATAGTTGATCAAAAGAAAAAGAACTAATAGATTATGATTTAGTATTGCTTAGTGGTTACACTTTTTGTGATATTTAATCATCGTACATCTACCTAGTTTTAATACAATATTTTTCCCCAGATTAAAAAATAAGTATGGCAACATTGTCAGCCTTAAAGGAATACCTGGAAGAAATCCCGTGGCTATACTCTTTGATGTTAATGATATGGAAATTGTAAGTAATATATATATATATATATGTTATTCAACAAAATCAATTTTAAAGAGTTACACATAACTTTTTCAAGTATCTTATATCCTTTTCTACTTAGATATTGAAATAAAGATACGCAAACAAATTTTGTGGTAACTTTTACCATTTCAAACAAAAATTTTAAAATGCATATTATTCATTCATTATTTAGTTACATAAAAACAAATGAAAGATATTGGTAATTTGTAAATAGAGAAAATTTATTCGTTATTATTGTATTTTCTATTATATCACGAATTTTCAGGCTCTCAGAAATGAAGGACCATTTCCTCTAAGAACGGTTGCAGAATCTGTAACATATTATCGTCTGGAAATAAGAAAAGATGTTTTTGGTGGAGTTGGAGGATTGGCAAGTGTGTAAGTAGTATGGATAACCGAATAGTTATAAACTTGCTAAAACTTAAAGCTGAATGGAAATACTTTCAAAAGATGGATTTTTTGTAAAAAGTAAAGGCACATATTGACACTTTTAACACCTGTTAGTGATGCAGCGTCGCACTGCAAATTCCAAGCTTTGCAATTGCTTTGTCGCTTAGAGTTGGACATCAGGAACTTTTGCAAGGCTTAAATATAGTTGTTTAATGGTTTCGTAGGGCTACCTTGGATTTGGTGACCAAATTACTTTAGCATTGTCGGCGGGAATTACACACTTCTCTGAGATATTTTAAGTTCGTGTTGCCTCATCTCTCGAGCACTAGCCTGAAGTGATCTCGTTGTTTAGCTGTAGTTTTGTTGTATACAATTATACCGTCCAGATAGACCTGCGTGAAGCGGTGTAGATGGTCTATTAGAACTTCCCTGGTCGCCACATTTTGGGAACAATTTGGCGCATTTTTCCAGCCGAGGAAGACGACATTGAAATGGTACGTCTCTCAGTCAGTGTTTGGTGGTGAGTCATCAGAATTCAGCCTCATTCTAAGAAGAGCGCTTGTATTCGATCCTGGTTTGAGCAACCTGATCGGCATCTGTGTTACAGGCGGGTTTAAAGTCCTGGGAGTCGAATAGGTTTAGCTAACAGAGAGTAGTGAAGCTTCAGGTATTGTCTTGTACCTGTTTCATTTGTCATACCTTCATGATCTTCATGATTCTCTCAGGTCAGCTTCAGTTTTCCCTATTAAGGTCCAATTGAAGAATTGTTAAAATTGTTGACTGGTCGGTCACACATTTGCTGATTGTCTATAAACTACTTTGGGTTCTCGTGATCTAGGCGTGAATATGTGTATGGGCGTTTTCACATATACCGACATCGACACCGGCATGACATCAGCACAACAACGATACCGACATCAGCGACGACGCGAGTGGAGTAGCCTGTCACAACACGATACCGATATATCGGCGAGTGTGAAAACATGACCATTTATTTATATGAGATTACGCATCCACCGGCATCGTTGTCGTTGTCGTGCCGGTGTCGTGTCGGCCAGTGTGAAAACGGCCTATAGGAGGTGTTTATCTGCACCTCTCCATTTTTGTTCAGATCATGTTATAATGTATAAAAGTTCTTAAAAATTTACAGAACTATGAGGCTTCGATTGTCGTATTACCTACAATTATCTGGAGAGGATCAATGATTTTTCAGCGAGAAGAAAACTGCATACACACAGTTTTTTCTGCATTTTTAAGCTCCACAAGACTATTTGCCGCCGTTGCAAAAGCGACATCATCTGCATATAATATTTGCATTAACATGCAAAGGGAGATCATTCATAAATATCAGGAAAATAAGTGGGCCAAGTATTGTACCCTGAGGTACTCCCAGTTCAATATATTTTATAGGGGACATTTTATTATTCAATTTCACATATATTTTCCTTTGCCTGAGCACTTTTATAGGTCTTCTTGGAGTACCTAGATTTTGGGCGACTTAGAGTACCTTGATTTTATCATTTAGAATCTTCGCAACAAAGGAAACAAGCCTGTGAAGCTTGGCTTTATTCCTTAGGATCTTCGCAACAGGTACCGAAATGTCTGAACACATTTGACACTAGATGATGGTCTAGGGCTCGAGCGGCGTGCTTCGACAATGTCTTGAATTGTGAAAATTTATTTATTGAAAATAATTTATTAACAATAAATAAGTTCAAAATGACATAATGAATATATATTACTAAAAATCTTAAATGTATAAAAGTGCGTAGAGTACTGGCCAGGAACACTGTCTAGATTTTTCTTGCGTAGAGAGTCTACAAACGACTTTGTGGTGTGGAATTGAAGGTTGTGATATCACTCGGGACGTGGAATACATTATCTTTAAATTTATTTAAATGAGTATACTATTATATCTTAAAAAGGTTAACTAAGTCAGAAATACAATTAGAAAATACAATAATAACTAACTCCAAAAAAAAATGGCAAAACAATTTGTGATGTTTAAAATGTATAAAGTAAGGGGTAAATTAAGTGAATTGACATTGTTTTAGTCAAGGAGAAGAGTGGTTTAAAATCAGATCGGTAGTAAACCCAATCTTAATGCAGCCTAGGACAATTCAACAGTATGTGGGAAGTATGGATAAAGTCGCCCACGAATTGGTTGATAATATTCGCTATTTCTCGAAACAAAATGAAAATAATGAAATGCCGGACGATTTCCAGGGCGAGTTATATAAGTGGGCATTGGAATCAGTTGGACTGGTCGCACTCGATAGGCATTTAGGTATGTAATAAGGTTTAAATTTCGATGATACGTACGTATGACAGTTTTTAATATCAATAGCTTTTAACAAAAGGTTCAACATAGTTTTCTACTGAGAAAAAGATAAAATAATAATTGGTCTAATGGATGAAGCTGTATATATTTTCATATTTAATTTAATTCAAAAAATTTTGTCTTATAGGTCTTATAGTGGGATAAGTACAAAGTGAAAAAGGTCTCACATATTTACGCTCAACTATACAGGCGCACAAAAAAAAAATAATTGACAAATTAGTTGGATATAGTCACTTCATTAAAAATGTATATGTATAGTCCAGGCGGTATCTGTTTCGGGTTGAGTAAAACGCATATGATCGGAGATTTTTGCTTTAACGGCTTCTAAATAACTTCAGAAATGATATTTCTATGCAAATAAAAAAAAACGTGGGCTTAATTGTTATTGAAAAAAGTATAAAAAAATTGCAAAATAATTCATTTTTTTCTTGGATCTTAGCAACTATTCGCTTTAGACAAAAATGGAAGGAGAAAAAAAGTTTTGTAATTAAATTTTGAACCAAATAGACTTAGTTACAATTCGAAAAAATTATTATTGTTGTAGCAAAAATCGGAAAAATCATTTAAAAAATTAGTTTATTTGTCAATTTTTTTCAGACACTTGAATAATACCTAGGATCTTCATACTTTTCCCAATTAAACTTCTTAGTGTATAAAATCATCACACCAAATTTCATCCAATTCAGTTAAATAGTTTTTACATAATAATTGTTTAAATTTTTTTTTAATTAAAATATTTTCAAAATCAAATTTCTAAAAATGGAAAGCCTTTGAATACCTGAAAATTTCACCTCAAAAAGAAGAGCTCTCAAGCTTTAAAATGCTCTTTGAAAAATTCAAATCGGACAATTATGTGAGCCGTAGTAATTGTTTAAACAGTTTTGCAATTTTCACGCTTATAAATAATTGCAATAATTTAATGTCTTTTAATTTTTTTTTATTTTAAAATATGAAAGCACTCGGAAAGACGAGTATTTAAAAAAAACCTGATGATCCGCCCATTATTTTCGGAGTTAAAGCCCGTTAAAGTTAACCCTTATTTACAGCAAAACAATAAGGATATAAGGGCTGTTTTTTGAACTAATAANGAAATTCATTATAATTATTGCTTTTAAAGTACTCGGTAAGACGCTTCTTTTCTTTAAAAAAAAAACGTGGTGATTCGTTAATTGGTTCCAGAGTTATAGTCGATCAAAGTTGACCGGCATCTGCATACGAGGTCTGGAAGGCTGTTTTTTTTTTTAAACAAATACCTTTGTCATTCCGAGTACTTTCCGGGAGTAAATTTCTTCTAGTGGTCCGATTTTGAGGTTTTTTTTTAAATCGATGTCTCGCAACTTCAAAAATTCAATTATCATATTTTCAACTACCTTTTAAGTATTATTAATTATTGGACTTTTGACATGCCGATAAACAGTTACTTTAAAAAATGATTAATTTATTATGTTTATTTATTTACTATGTTTACGACCAAAATTTTTGCTAGTTGCACCAGATAATACTTGTAAGTTTGTTTAAATATTATAAAATTGTTTAAACAATAATTATTTAAATAAACAACCTCATTGATCCAACCAAGAGCATTTTAAAGCTTGAGTGCTCTTCTTTTTGTGGTGAAATTTTCAAGTATTCAAAGGCTTTAGATTTTTAGAAATTTCATTTTGAAAATTTTATAATTAAAAAAAAATTAAACAATTATTACGTAAAAACCATCGAACCGAATTGGCTGAAATTTAGTGTGATGATTCTATGCACTAAGAAGTTAGTAATATTAATATCCCGTTAACCCCTGTATATATTTTTATCTCTAATTCTATATTTTTCCATAACAATAATGCTACATTAGATATCTTGCTTAGCTAGATAAAATAAATAGCTTACGTTGTGTATTAATTACTATAAATTGTTAGCTCTTGTAAATAAGATTTAGATTCAACGATCTAGTGTACATCAGTGAGTTTACTGTGAACGCTCCCAACCTTCACTAGTTTAATTTAATAGTATGAAGATCCTAGGTATTATTCAAGTGTCTGAAAAAAATTGACAAATAAACTAGCATTTTTTGCAATTTTTTAAATGATTTTTTCGATTTTTGCAATAACAATAATTATTTTTTCGAATTGCAACTACCGCTATCTTGTTCAAAATTTAATTACAAAACATTTTTTCCTCTTCCATTTTTGTCCAAAATGAATAGTTGCTAAGTTGTCGACGAGAAATCCAAGAAAAAATTAATATTTTTGCTATTTTAATTATACTTTTTTTGCAATAACAATTAAGCCCACATTATTTGCATAGAACAATTATCATTCTCCGACCATATGCGTTTTACCCAAGTATACCCTTTTTAAAACAAATACCGCTTGGACTAATAATTATTATCATTTAAAGAGCCCTTTTCAAAAATGAATATAATTGTTAATATCTGATAAGATTGTAGATAAGAATTTCCTTAATTTTTAAAAGATAATTATGAGGTAAGTGAATTTACATTTGTTTGGTATATTTTAAAAGCGTGTAAAAGCTTTGTTATTAGACGTAATCGGAAACAGTTAACAAAAGAAAATATGTTTGTTATCTGATAAGTTATAATATTTTGTACAGCTTTATTTTCTCAGTATTTTGATGTCATAAATTATATTGATACAGAGCCTTATTACATTAAATCTTGGCGTTACCAATATTAATGATTCGTTTACAATGAACAATGACAAACCGTTACGTCTACTCTTGAGATAATGCGATCGCTGGTTGGTTGAATTAGAATCTTGTGAAAAATTACGCCCATGAAACAGAATATTGTGTTTAATATAATCTTTATCTTATTGTTTTAATTTTACCGAAATTTAATTGCCAACGTGAAGGAAATAAAATTACTGTCCTAAAAAAAATTACTGGCCACGTAGTCATATTTTAGATTTTATTGTTTAAAAATAAGATTTATTTTCTGAATATGTTAACATATATCAAATGCATATTAGGTGTTTCGTAATCATTATGTTAAAATTTTGGAAACAACTATAGTTAAAAAAATAAATTAATATCACCCCTTATTAACTAATTTAAGTTTATAATCGCAGCGTAAAGCGTCACTTCATGCCTCAAGCGACGGTTCACATCATGAGACTAGAAAAGTACATGATTATTGGTTTAAAGTCGCCTCACTGACTTAAGTTTATAATAAATAATCCTTTTTAACTATAAAAGTTTATCTGCAACAGAAATAAGAATTCTACGCGAAAAATGGAAATATTGAACATCTGTGAATGAAATAAGTTTGAAATGATTTAAGGATTAAAATAAAACCACAAAATTTGACATTTATCTTAGCGAGTCGTTATTGCCCTTCTTGGAAAAGATTTTTCTCTGATACCCAAAACTTTTTTCAATTAACCTTTGAAATTTCAGGATGTCTACATTTAAATGCCCCCAAGGATTCCGAGCCACAGCAGTTTATATCCAAAGTAAATGATATGTTTGTACTTATGTATCAGTTAGACTTTCTCCCACCAATATGGAAATTCATCTCAACACCCGCACTTAAACGTTACGTCAAAATTTTGGACTATATAACTGAGTAAGAATGTTAACGTATTTTTAATGTATATCCACTAGGTATCTATTACTTTTTAGCACAACACTTAAATATATAGAAGAATCTTTGAACAGGTCTATTGCAGAAAATATACCAGACGATCAACTCAGTGTGACCCAAAGACTGGCCAAAATAGATAAAAGGATTGCTGTTGCTACGGGCATGGATATGTTGATAGCTGGGATAGATACGGTAATACATATTACCGATTTTCTGTACTTTGTTATACTTATTGATACGGCTGATTAGATAATTATTACCAGACTTTTCAAAAGAGCTACCGCATTTATACTTAAAAAAAAATGTCGATACATAAAAATGGGCCTATTTTATAGTCACCGATTTACGAAATAATGAATTTAGTTCTTTCATTTGCATCATACTGTGTATTATACCAAAATACGTACTTATTTAAATAACAAAATACTAAATACCTATTTATTTAATTTACATAATGTTCAAAAGGCTCCGCACGGTCTTTATCAAAATGTGGGCTCTGTCAAATTGGCTGAAATTGTGGCTGAAGTTGTTGGTTTTGTGTTACTCACCAAAAGTCTCTACAGTACTTGGGTCCGAAAATCAATTCTTTCCTATTTATAATGGTTTGAGTCAGTTCTGCTGATGATAGCTGCAAAGTAGTATGAGTAGAATATTGCAATAAAAACAGTAACTCTTGTGAAATATTTAATGAAAAAATTAATCGGACGACTTTGAAAAGTTGCTAATTAATATTTTTGACGTGTGTCAAATATAAAACTAGCTGCATTGGCCATTGGCAACAATAGTTTGTAGATTGTATTCATACCTGCATCTCTCAGATAAATGCAATAATATCTATCAAATAACGCAGTAATTAATCTTATGGTTCAAAATAGATATTATTGTATTTAACTGAGAGATGTATGATATGACTATTATAAATAAAGTAGACTATTCACTTTATTTATATTATAAAAAATAATTGTTGTAATTAAATAATTTTATGTATATGTAATTTAATTATTGTAATGTAATGTAATTATTGTAATTATTGTAATGTAATTATTTCAAGCCAAGGCATACAAAACATTGCGTATGTATCTACCACAAAAAGTACATTTTTTATTGGATGATCACCAGAGAGCGGACAATTTGTGACTTTAACCTTGAACATAGATATGTCATTCATAAACCTAGAAACATTACCCATGACGCAGTGGCGTGTCGGGTATGCATCGGAAATTTACGTGATAATTCACCAAAATTCCACGGTACATACATTTTTAGGCGTTATAAAATATTTAGAAAATCAGAAATTGTATACTACATATTTATTAAATAAAGTTCGGTTAAAAATAGTGTCGTTCTTTTAATTGGAAATTAGGAGTCAATGTAACGAATAGCCTCAGGCGACGCACATGATAGAATAGTCCAACTCACGCTCCATTCATAACAAGGCTGCAGCTTGAATTCTGACCAATAGGAATTCGATAAACGCAACTGATGTCGACGGATGGACTAGAGATGGGCGCGAGTGTCATTTCATTTCTTTAGAACTAAATTAACTTAATTATTTTCTCGTTATTTAACCTGTTCACATGATTTATGGATTTTAAATAAAGGGTACAAATCTTCGTGAGGATAATATGATATATTTGCTATACATAATAATTATATTTTGCATAGTTTATACACAATACATTTTTGAACGCGTACACATCTCTACCAAAATTTGACCTATTCTTCGGGTAGAGACACACATTGTCCGCTCTCTAATGATCACATCACCCTCAAGATTAAAATAAACACTTCAGTCTTTATTCCCTTAATCTCAGTGGTATTATTATTATTATTTTACTAATAGAAATCAATATTTGACTGTGCCTGTAATAACTTCATTATATTATTCAGTAATGTTATATTCAGTTTATAGTTACTGTGAGCTTATGGGAAAAAATACATGTTATTAACAGAACAATGCAGTTAAAATGATTTATAAAAACTAGTGAAATATAACAGCAGTAACAATGAAAATGACAATCTTGGCTTTGTACGTCGATTCTAAAGGATTACAATTTTGTTATCATCATAATCTTCCGCAGACTTGCATTCTATTAAACTTTATACTGATAGTGCGAGAAATTCTTTTTAAATTTTGTATAATTTTTCCTTTCTAAATTAGAGTATTATTTTTAACCTTATTTTCGAAGTTCAGTTTAAAAGAAACACGATTTTATAAGTAAAATATGAACAGGCAGTATTATATCTCACACAATATTTCAAAGATGCGCTATCTTTGTTAAATGTCGTACAATGTATAATAACAATACAACAAAACCATAACAATAATGTACATTAATTATAATTTGATTCCACATTTTCTTTGACATATTAAGTTGGTAAGCTGGCTTCAATTCGCAACTTAAAGTTTAATAAAAGTTAACAGAACAGATATTTTACCTAATTAGAATTAATAAAGCTGTTTTAAATCGAACTCATTTTTTAGATATTGTCATGAAAACAGCATAGTAAGTTTTTGAGGGTTAAGAAATAACATAATATTAACAATATAACAGAAAATAAACGTTTTATATGGGCATATAAGATAAATAGATATCGTGAGGAAATATATTTTTCATATCTATATACATGATGTCGAAAAATGTTAGTTATTTAAGAATATTAACAATATTCTTATGTCTTATCAAAATGCATATGATTACAATTCACTTTTTCTCAATTCAAAACAAAGTCAATTAAGCTCGTAATCAAAATGTAGTCGAATATCTGTAATTTTTCTGATATTCATTTATCCAATTTAATCGACATTTATTTGAATTTTTATACGGAATCTAAGGAACCATTTTTCCAGTTACATAATGTAGAAGAGAATAATATAAAGTATCGCTTCACCGAATATAGCCAAAACAATTACAGACGTCACTAAAATATTTTCACTTCCTTTTTTAGACAGGAAAAACGTTGGCTACCCTGTTGTACTTCCTTGCAAAAAATCCAGACAAACAGCAGTGTCTCCGAGAGGAGCTATTGAAAAATCTTCCAAAAAAAAATTCACCAGTCACCAAAGAGGTTTTGAATAAATCGCCATATCTTAAGGCAGCAATCAAAGAATCGAGCAGGATAGCTCCAACAGCTATAGGAAATTTGAGGACAACCGTAAAGGATTTGGTCCTTGCAGGCTATCAAATCCCAAAGGGTGTAAGTATAAGCAATAGCTTTTAATGTGACGTACTAGAATATATATCTAATGTCTTATCCAGATTTGCGTTAAAAGGTTGCAATTATTAGGTCAGGGCTATAGAGTGCGCTTCGCACAATAGTTGGGAAGGAATACTGAGGTCAGAAATCGTTCTCTCTAGTGATAACGTTCACACACCGTTGACCGCACAATCGAAACAATTAAAAAATTCTGATGGGACAAATTTGATCAATTTCAAGCGGTGAAATTTACATAATGTTTGAAAACGCTTGTTTTCCAATGTCAAAAGTGTTTGGAGGAAAATAGCTACTAGAAAAATTACATAACTATGCTATGCATGTATTTGAAACCACTAAAACATATATTTTTTTGTTCATTTCCTTATTTATTTTGATTTTATAACTGATTGGCTCTTACTTTTGAAATATGCTTCATATTAACAATTTAAAATACAGAAATTTATTTATAACTTTTATAAATTATAATTTAAGTATACTTTGTGAGATCCTAACATTTGTAAGGTGTTTTTTTTTTAACAAGAACTCTTCGAAATCTATTTCTAAATAATTCTCCATTAAATATTGATAAAACCGTAATTCATGCTTAACACATAAATAAAATAAATACTAAGAAAAGTGTTGTTATGAGAGTCAACTAAAATAACAGCCGGTATCATAGAAACTCACATTTCCATAATTTTACTAAGTCTGAAAGAAGAATTCAACATTTGCAACTTTGTTGTGTGGCATTTTGTTGCTTCAAAGTTTTTTTTATTTATGCCAGTGCACCAAATGTTTATGAATTCTTTTAAATTCAACACTACATATAGGTTGATGCTGATGGCGTGAAACTGAACCTAATTGAATTCACATATAACAATTAGTGATATGTGTAGAGTGGACTATTTGAATAAGTATTCATAGGTATATGATTATTTTTTAAAGAATATTCATAGTATTCACAAATATTCGTATGTGCAAGTCTGGAGCATATTATTTCTTTAGTAGCTTTCAGCCATAATTGTATAACTACTAACACAGACAATATAGCTTATCGCCACAGACTGCTTCTTAAATACTGGAAATTGGCAATCCGAAATGGATGCAGGCTTTAGTTAGCCGGCATCCATCAATGAAATTTAGCGTGGTAACTCTTCTACTTGGTAATAGGCGGCAGTTCCAGCGGTGGCTTTGTTGCCAAATAATAACTGCTAAATAAATTTAATGCTTTCAATTATGTAATTAAAGAGATATGGAACTTATCTTCTGTTTGGAAATCACATTTGCCTTAAATGCTAAATAAAATAAATCAAGTTATAATTAAAACTATGAATTTACCTAATTAATTATTTATTTTTTACCTTGGAATGGGAAAATTCAAAAACTCGAAATTAATGTTTTTAGATTTGTGCGTCGACTTCCAATATGGTACGATATTAACACCTATGTTTAAAAAAATTGCATTATACAGGTTGTGTATGCTTAGATTGCTCTTATTGTTGATTTCTTTAGATAGGTAAAATAATTATTGACACAAGTGTTGCATATCATGGATGCCATTGGTAGTGCTCATATTTGTGACACAAGGTGTTCAAAAAAATTAACACAAATTGAAGTTATTTGTTGATTAAGACCATCAGTTATTTCTGCATGTAACGTCAAATAAAATTTTAATTTAATATCAGGACTAAATATGTTCAAATGTTCTGCAAAAATGAAATAACCTTGTTTTTCTTCCGCAGACTGATGTCATGACCATGCATCTCCTTAGTTCCAATTCGGATGAAATATTCAAAGATGCTGCTAAATTTATTCCTGAGAGGTGGCTTCGAGCAACAGAAGACCAATACTCAACTAAAAACGTGCATTCCTTTGCATACATGCCTTTCGGCTTCGGACCTAGGTCATGCGTTGGCAAGCGCTTGGCCAATTTGGAATTAGAAGTAGCGACAGCGAGGGTAAGTACCGTACTTATTCTAATTGAATAAGTTGTTTCGAATTTTTAAATGATTATATTATTTTATCAAAATCATCGAAAATTAGATATATTTGAACTTATACAAGTGTTAATTGTATAATGAATCTATATTAAATATATATTTTATCAACTACGTAGGTATTGTATTATTCGTGTTTTTTTTTATCGAAAACCATTTAAAAATTGCATATTATGTGTGAAGTTTCACTATTCATTAATCTGTTTAATATATTTTTTTCAGATTATAAGGAATTTTGAACTTTCATGGCCTCACGAAGATATGACATTTTCTGGAAATTTACTATATGGAATCACGAAACCTCTTAAACTCAGAGTAAAGGAGCTCTAATATAGTTATATTGGATTATGTGATATTTGTAAGGTAATATAAAAGTCAGAGAAAATTCCCCTGCCCTATTTTCTTCATTATTTTTTTTAGAAAAGGTATAATGTTTTAAAATATAGAAAACCTTTCAATATTTGGCTGCAAAAAAAATCGATTATCGTATTACAGACCCAGATGTAATATGACTTTTGAATATTTGAGATCTATCTTTAACAATAAGGAAAATATGGTAGAACGAGTGCATATATGTACTTATAAAAACTACTGTAATATTTATCCTAATAAAAGCATTCTATTCAAATTTCTAAAAATATACAGAGTACCCTTTACGTATATATTTATATATAAAATGTACCTATACAGGGTGATTCAGAACTTATCCAAAAAGAATAAAAAATTCTGAATGTACAGGAGACCCTTACAAATACAATTTTGTAAAGAAAAAATCAAAAAAGGCAGTTCGAAAATGATTTAAAAATAAACTTCTGCACGACACTGGAAACTGGTCCACTGTAAAACCTGACCTCGCACAATGGGACCGGCATGGCGGTGTGATAAAAACGCACAAAAACTTTCGCAAGGAAAGAAATAAATAGAATTTTATAGCACCTATTTTATATCGGCAAATTCAAATGCTTTTGCCTTTATTAATCAATAAAATTAATTTGTGTTTTTAAATAATAAAATCATTTGACATACCCGATGTTACAACAACAATTGTTCAAAATTTTATTCACTAACGTATAAACACATTTGGGTCCGTCTTACTCACTTTCTACGAACTAACATTGATGATGTCTTACTTCACCATAACAAAATGCTTCACCATAATACAAATGTTGTCTTGCTTCAACATAAATTAAAACGATATCCATCAACTCTGAGTTGCTAAATACACGCAAACCATTTTTGACACTAACTACTAAAAAACTGTTGTAAACATCACAGCTAACAGGTAAACAACATCGCAACGACGGATTTCAGTATTCGGAGTCGCTAAGGCCACGTGGGTCCCCACGCGTATTGCGAATGACGCTGGAAACTACAGTTGTCCAGCTATGTAGTGGTTGAATGTACTATAACTTCAATAATTTTTTTCTCGGAAATTACAAGGATTTTACAAAAATTTTTTTACGATATTGACTCCATTTCTCATGCCGCATCTATTCCCAAATTTTTTTGGATAAGTTGTGAATCACCCATATATTATTACAAAAACTAAGTGAGATGTTTTTTGCAACTTTTTGGATATTTAGAAGTATAATGGAGAAAAAAACAGGATAGAATATTTTTCAGTTACCTGTAAATTTACAAATTGCGGAACTATACTACCTATTATGTTATATAGAACCTTCATAAATGATAGCAAGCCACGTAATCAGTAATTTTATATCCTTCACATTAGTAAATTTGCTAAAATAAAGAATTATTTAAGCAATACGATCAAGACTACATTAAAGCACAACATTCTGTTTCGCCGGCTAGTGATTGCATTATCTCGAGCAGAGACTAACGGTTTTGCATTGTTCATTATAAACGAATCATTAATATTAATAACGCTAAGATTTATTGATTTTTAGTTGACAGTACCAGCCGTGCAATGTTCGTTGCCTAAGATCGACGGTCACGTAGATTGTAATCAATTATGAAGGGTCTGTTGAAGGGTAACCTTCCCAAAATATTTATATTTTACTATTTATTAATGTTAATTGAGTTAAAAAGATAAAATATATATTAGAGTATTCGTCATAATACTTATATATAACTCTATTTTTATATACACGTATATAATAATAAATAAATATATCTTGGTATTGTTAATTTAAATAAAAGTATTAAAATATAAATAATTATGAAATAAGTATTCTTAAGTCTTCAAAAATACGGATATATTATAAAGTAACTTTATTTCAAATAATCAATAAATGTAAATTAAAGATAAAAGAATAAGTTGTATGAATCTTCTGCTAGAAGGAAAATAAATGGCAACTCACCCAAATTCATAGGACTTAAAATATTCAATAATTTATCACAAATTGTAAGACGGGAAGAATATTAAAAAAAGGTTAAAAGAATTTTTAATAGAAATATATTTTTATTCTCTGTTAGAATATTTTGGTTTTAGTTAGTTTTAGTAACTATTTGTATATAATAGTGCCTTATAAAAGAAAAATATTAAAGTGATGATGAAGTATCTTTATTATTTCATTATTTATAGTCTCTAATATACCGGGTGATTCATTAACAATGGGAAAGTCGTAAGCTGAAGATACTACACGTGAAATGGTGACCATTGACGATTTAAAATTTTAACTTTTTTTTTTAACACCCTGTATTTCCGAAACTATCAACTTTCGGATAAGGCATGTTTGCGCCAATGGTCACCATTTCACGTGTAGTATATTCAGCTCTCGATTTTCCCATTGTTAATTAATCACCCTGTATAATAGTATATTATAATTTCCATATCAACAGTAACTGAAATTGAAAAAAAGAATCATATGAATATAAAATACTTAAATGTTTGGACACATTTTACACCAAAAGTTTATATTTGAATATACAGGGTGTTTGTAAATAAGTGCGAAATATTATAGGGGGTGGTTGCCAAAGTTATTTTGTGGAAAAAAGTTTATATAAAGATAGGTCGAAATAATATGCTTTGTTTCCGAGATACAGAGTGTTTAAATTTTGATTATTTATTTATTTTTATTAATTATTTCAGAGTTTTAAATATACTGACTCGAAATTTGATAGTTGTATTTTATTTAGAAATATTGACAGCAACCTACTAGAACTAGATAATATATAAATAGAAATTCAAAATATACAACTTGCAATAGAATATGTTTTATTTTTCCTCAAAAACGGTGCATCCTACGAAAAAAATTGAAGAGACCAATTTCCTTCACAATTGATGGCGGATTTCTAAAAAAATATCAAAACAGAAAAAAAGGTTCTAGCATTAGGAAGATTCGGATCACCCCAAAAAATGCACATTTATCCCTCCAAAGTGTTTTTCAAATTTCGAGTAAATATCTTTAAAACTCTTCGAAATAATTAATAAAAATAAATAAAAAATTAAAATTCGGAAACGAAGCATATTTCGACCTACGTTTATATAAACTTTTTTTTCACAAAATAACTTCGGCAACCACCCTAAAATATTTTGCACTTATTTACATACACCCTGTATGTATCAAAAGATAATTAAATAATGTAAATTTAATTAGGTAGTTTTCTTTTCTGATCACAATATAGACAACAAAAATATGTTACTGAATCATGAAGAATGGGAAAAACTCTAACCAAGTTATCAAGTATAAAATTCACAAGAATAGGAGAAATTGTAGAGCCATTGGCGCGCCAAAAATCTGTTTGTAATAACTACTATTGAATAAAAAATAATTAGAGTCAACAATAAAATCAAGGATAGACAAAAAACTATTAAAATTAAATTTTCATTATTGAGTTTGTTAAACACTGGCAACTATATTTTTTGATAAATTAGTAAATAATGAGACTATATCAAAAATGACTACTATATAACCTACATTTAATTGATAAAATCATTGATACAAGTACTGAAAGAAAAATAGTTTTTAACATACAAGTACATTATTAGTGTTGTCAGATTTCGTCAAAACGTTTCTTAAAAATTTTGAATTGTAATCGAAATCTTTCAATGAGTTCAGCCATAGCGGTTGATGCGTGTACACCAAACCCTATGGCCAAACCGACAACGTTTTTCTGTAATTATTTTGGGTGCATTCAGTAGGTAAAGCAGTACCCTATATTATCTTCTACATAAATGGCAGAAACGCTTATCAGAAAAAAATAATTCTCGCATATTCCACAATCCCTTCGTCATAAAAAATTCGTAGATCAATTAAACTTGCAAATAAATAATTATTCGCAGTTAGAAAAAATAAAGGTAGTTAGCATATTTCACTTCATTTGAATGACAAATTCTACATAACAAATTATCAAAAAAAATCCATAAGCTGATTATTAATTATTTATATTATATTATATTATTTTAAATTGAGAAAAAATTGACAGTGATCATTTACATTTTCTAAAGATGGACGTGCTTATTTGAATTGTTGTTTTTAGATTTTCAAAAATTTTTATCCAACATATTTAAAAATTCTACAAACTATTCTACATTTTGAGATATATATTTTATCTTATGATACAAAAATATTTATAAAATACAATAAATAATTAAATATAATAAATAA